AAGACCTGGCTGCCATCATTAAAGTAGCCACCCTCCTCTGCTTTTCTCTAGTCATGTCTGAGAGTACAAAATGGGTGGTATGATATTCTTCCACATCTTTTCCCAAATCCATAATAGCAAACAAGGAAAGTGGAGAACTGGATGGGAGCAAAACTTGTATCATGGGGTTATTCTGGCTTGTGTTTTCTACTGCTAAGTATTACTGGGGAGAGATCAATGGGGAATGATAAAGTCATACAGAAAACAATTATTTCAAGTTATTGCTGCTAAAGGTGGTTCTACAAGCCATTGAATTATAAGGTGTACTTAATTTTTCACACGACTTTTTCATTTTATTTTTTTCCAATTGCTTTAAGAGCAGCTTTCACTTCACTTTCTAAAATTGAAGGTTCTTCATCACAGGATTCTTCATGAAAGGAATCTGTCAGTATCTCATCTCTTCTGTATAGTTCTTCAGTATATTGTTCCACCTTCTTATTAGTTAATCCTTCTAAGACAGCATGTTCCCTGTTGATCCTTCAGCATCCCCTAATCTAGGTTTAAATTTGCTTTGGTTTCTTGACTCTAGTGGGAGAGTTATCTTATTTTTATTATTTTATTGTTCTCTTTCTTTCTGTGGATTATTGTAATAGTTCTCTTTGTCTCTACATGACAAGTTGTATTTTCGATTCTCACCCTAAATGTCTTACCCAGTGGAAACCTTTCAGTGTCATTCCAATTCCTTCTTCTGGGGAGGAGCAACAGTTCAATAGTAGGAAACATGTTTTACAAGCAGAACATCCTAGGCTCTGTCTCTGCAATCTTCAGGTAGGTCAGAGAAATACTGCTATAGCTTTTATGGTCCAACCCTCAGATCTCTAGGGTTAAGGCTTGCTTTATAGATTTCAACAAGCATCAATTAAACAAGAGACACAAGGAACAGTCAACCAACACTATAAAAGGGAAATATCTGAAATCATGCAAGAGTTGTGATCGTAGAAAAGGGACACATCTTATTCACAGTCCACCATTATGACTCTCCAGTATTCCTCTAGTTTTTTGTATTCATACATACCTAACATACAAAACTAAAAAAAAAATTCAAAATCTAACAATAAAAAAAGACATCAAAACTAAATGTCCATAGTACCCCTCTAGATCAGAGATTCCGATCAAAACTAAATGTCCATAGTACCCCTCTTCTAGATCAGAGATTCCGCATCGTCTGGTCATCTGAATATCATCAGAGGATTCCACTGAGCACTAATTCACTATAAATTAATTCTTAACTAAGTTCCTGTCTTTTTCTGGGCCCAATTATGTATCAGCTTCCAGCTTTCCTTTACAAAGTATCTTGGTTGATCCCACAGTGTCTCTGAAAGCGTATCCAGTTCTGCAATGTCTAATAGCTTTTTTAATACCACATCCATTGTTGGTGTCTCTTCATTCTTCCATTTTTGGGCCCAGAGCAACCTAGCTGCAGTTAGTATATACAGTAGACTATATTTTGTTTTCCTAGTTATAATTTCTGGCATTATATTCAGTAGCAGCATTTCAGGTTTAAAACTTAAGTTTTGCTGAACAATTTCTTGTGACATTTCAAAAACCTGTAACCAGAATTTTTTTGCTTTTTTGCGTGACCATGGTCAAAGATGCAAGCAAATTTCTTGTGGTGAAGGCCAAAAGAAATATATTTTGTCTTTGCTTGCAGCCCTGGGAGTAGTTCCATTCCATGACAATTTGGGCCAGATGGTGCCAGGATAAAATGGGAAGGTTGGACAATGGTGCAGTTTCAGTGCAGGAGGAGGAGAGCCTAGATTTAGCTCATCAATGATCTCAGTTCCTGCAAAATGATTACTCAGCTTCTCCAAATTGTTAATGATACCAGCTTTGGATTATACTGGCAACAACAGGCAACCACCAGCCAAGAGGGCAAACTATGTACCTGACAATGACCCAGGTCTGATAGAGGCAGGAGAGAAGGACAAAACCCCCTCCAAATTCCTTTCTGCTTCTCACCTTTTAGAGCACCTTTCTCCTTTAGAGCAGACCTTCTTATCATCTTCTTCCCGTAAGCTTTTGTCCAGTATGCATGTGATTTGTGTTTTTCATTGGAAAGTGTCAATCATCAGCTTCCTTAACATATGTAAATGCTGACTTGCAGACAACTAGCTTCCACAAAAATCTACTTTACTTCACAGATATACTTTGCTCTCTGCAATTCTGGGGAACTGCTGCTCGTCTATAATCGGTGTAGACATAGTGTAAAAAGACTTCATATGTTCCTTTGACAGTTTGAAGTAAAGTATTTGTCCAAGAAATTCATATTTTGGATTTCAGCTGTGGTAAAGTTAATTCTTGCTACTTTTGATTTCACTAGGACTTAAATATATAAAACATTATCCAAATGACAACCAATATGCAATTAATGCAATTGTATCAAAAGGACAAAAAGTTCTGAAGTGTGAAGGTACTGCCTATTTCCCAGCAGCCAAATGCAGCATGTTTACAATTGGTGTGATGTTTATGTACCCCCTTAAGTGCTATCCCATGTTTTACATCATCTTTGCCCCTTTTTCAGAGTCTTTGGAACAAATTTTTTCAAGACAAAGAACTTCGAGGAATGATTGAACAAGATGTGACAAGAACGTAAGTGTTATTTTTAAACATTTTATTGCATTCCATTGCTAGGTAGGCAAACAGCCTCTGCTTACAGGCCAAAGATGATACATTGTGCATCATTGTCACCTTGCGTAACAGATCCAAATAAGCTGAAGTAGGGCCAGACCTTTATTTATTTGATGTTTAAAAATTCCTAAGTCCTCTTTTTTTCAATTCAGTCATTCAAGAGCTGAATGATGCACTCCTTTGTGAGATTACAGAATATTTAAAGAGGGAGGCACACAGGTAATGGGAAACTTCAACAACACTTATATCTCTTGGAAGCCCGGTTCTGTGAGAGAGATGAGGTCTAACAAATTCTTCACTGACAATCTCAGATTCTTGAATGCTGAAGAAGTAACTATGGGATCAGCTATCCTTCATCAGCTCATCAACAAGGAAGAACTGATGAATGAAGTAGAAATAATAGGAACTTTGAGTAGAAATGACCATACCCTTTAAAAGATTTAAAAGAGGTGTGTAAAGTAAATGGAAGGACAGGGGTATGATAAAGGAGGAGTACAGGGAAGTAGCCAGTACTTACGGAGGAAACACTCTCCAGAGCACGAAGCCTGGGTAAAAATGGAAGGACAGGAGTATGATAAAGGAGGAGTACAGGGAAGTAACCAGTACTTACGGAGGAAACTTGGGAAGGCTGAAGCTCAAAAGGAGCTCAGACTTGCAAGACGGGTTAAAGAGTGACAAGATTTCTTTTCAGATATGCTCAAAGCAGGAGAAGGAATAAGGAAAGGGGGGTTCTGTTGCATGGAGAGAGTAGGAAAATACTAAGGGGGACACTAAGATCATGGCCACTGATCTCATCACCTTCTGGCAAATAGAAGGGGAAGATATGGAGGCAGGGACAGATTTTACTTTCTTGGGCTCCATGATCACTGCAGATGGTGACAGCAGCTACGAAATTAAAAGACGCCTGCTTCTTGAGAGGAAAGGAATGGCAAACCATCTTAAAAAACAGAGACATCACCTTGCCGACAAAGGTCCGCATCGTCAAATCTATGGTTTTTTCAGTAGTGATGTATGGAAGTGAGAGCTAGACCATAAAGAAGGCTGACCACCAAAGAATTGATGCTTTTGAAGTGTGGTGGTAGAGGAGACTCTTGAGAGTCCCCTGGACTGCAAAGAGAACAAACCTATCCATTTTGAAGGAAATCAACCCTGAGTGCTCACTGGAAGGACAGATCCTGAAGCTGAGGCTCCAATACTTTGTCCATCTCATGAAAAGAGAAGACTCCCTGGAAAAGCCCCTGATGTTGGGAAAGTATGAGGGCAAGAGGAGAAGGGGACGACAGAGAATGAGATGGTTGGACAGTGTCATCGAAGCTACCAACATGAATTTGACCCAACTCCAGGAGGCAGTGAAAGACAGGAGGGCCTGGCGTGCTCTGGTCCATGGGGTCACGAAGAGTCAGACATAACTTAATGACTAAACAATAACAACAAGAGGGACACAAAAAAGGCAACATTACTGAATCATCTACTTTGCTTCTGTCTTTTCCTAGAAGAAAGGTGATGCCAAAACTGGGACAAATATAAGTAAACAAAGCAAATCGTGCTGTTTATGTACTGCCCCATAGCACTTAAAGTACTGGATAGCTTGCAACTTAATTATGAAGTCTGCACATTGTCCTCCCTCCCATTGAGCTGGTACTCCTACGTATAATACAGGTGCTGTAAAATGCAGCACACTTTAAAATGGATTCGAGTCTCCAGGGCCAAATAAGCTTCCTCCAAGGTACTAAAGGAACTTGCAAATGTAATAGCAGAATCTCTGTCTATAATCTTTGAGAATGCTTGGAGGTTCCTGGGGATCAAAAAGAAGAGGACAGATGATCCTAGCAACTATCAACTGATCAGTTTGACATAAATACCAGGAATCTTCCCAGAACAGATCACTGAACAGTCTGTCTGTGAACACTTAAGAAAAGAATGCTGTGATTTCTAAAAAGGTCCAGCATTGGTTTTTCAAAAATAAGTTACACCAGAGAAATATTTTGATAGCTTTTTGATACCATGCTCAGAGAGTGCTTGCCAGTTATTCCTTGCCATCCTGGACAGAAGTGACAAGTAGAGTGCACTAGGCACAGTATTGTTCAACATTTTCAAAAACAATGTGGATGAGAATCTGGAGGGGATGCTCATTGTATTTGTATGTGGCACCAAATTGAGAGGAATGTTTAATACTTCAGAAGATAGAATCAGGATTCAGGAATATCCTAACTTAACTTGTCCAGAATAAATAAAAAAAAGTTCAACAGGGGAAAAATGTAAAGTTCTACACTGAAGCAGAAAAAAACAGATGTAACAGTACCACTGTATTATTGGTTGGACATCACCTGGAATAATACTATGCCCAGTTCTGGGCACCATTTTTTAAGAAGGATATTAAGAAGCTAAAATGTGTTCAGAGGAGGGTGACCAAGAATGCTAAAGGGTTTGAAAACTAAGCCCTACAAGAAATGGTTGAGGGAGTTTGGCATATTTAGTCTGTTGAGGGGACTGAAGAGAAATACTATTGTTGTTGTTTAGTCATTAAGTTGTGTCCGACTCTTCGTGACCCCATGGACCAGAGCACGCCAGGCCCTCCTGTCTTCCATCACCTCCCGGAGTTGGGTCAAATTCATGTTGGTAGCTTCGATGACACTGTCCAACCATCTCATCCTCTGTCGTCCCCTTCTCCTCTTGCCCTCACACTTTCCCAACATCAGGGTCTTTTCCAGGGTGTCTTCTCTTCTCATGAGATGGCCAAAGTATTGGAGCCTCAATTTCAGGATCTGTCCTTCCAGTGAGCACTCAGGGTTGATTTCCTTTATAATGGATAGGTATGTTCTCCTTGCAGTCCAGGGGACTCTCAAGAGTATCCTGAAGCACCACAATTCAAAAGCATAAATTCTTCAGTGATCAGCCTTTTCTTTTAAGTTTTAAATTTGTCTTAATTTTATTTCAAACATCAAAGACATGTATGTTAGAGTTATTGAGGCAGGTTTATTGTAAATTAATATTATGAGGTGTTATGTTGTTTTTTTCAATGGGAAGAAAAAAAGAATGAGATGAACTGACAGATCTTGTGACTAAATTATGTTTGTAATACAAGACTGAACAGATGATTTTCTGTAATTCTTAACACTTAATCAATAAAGAGTGATATGTAATTAGTTAGAAATGTCATTCATCTAGAATTTAGCATTTCTGTTTTCTATGTATTACCTTTCTACTGTCAAAGACACTATGTGAATTGTTCCCTATTACAATTGTGAATATTCTTTCATCTCACCGAAGCCTTTGGGTCGTTCCTGTTAAGGAACTTATCAAAGCCATAAAATATTTTGTTGGACTTAGACCTCTGATTGCACTGAGTAACTCTAATTAAGCTCAATTACTTTCTATATGTCATGTTGCTATTCTGATCACAGAATACCCCTTATTAAAATTGGAGGCTAGTAAATAGGGTTTGGATAGAGGCTCGTAACATTGTACAGGAGGCAGCAACAAAAACCATCCCAAAGAAAAGGAACTGCAAGAAAGTAAAGTGGCTGTCCAATGAGGCCTTAGAAATAGCAGAGAGGAGAGGGAAAACAAAATGCAAGGGAGACAGGGAAAGTTACAAAAAATTGAATGCAGACTTCCAAAGAATAGCAAGCAGAGACAAGAGGGCCATCTTAAATGCACAGTGCAAAGAATTAGAGGAAAATAATAAAAAAGGAAAAACCAGAGATCTGTTCACGAAAATTGGAGATATTAGAGGAACATTTTGTGCAAAGATGGACATGATAAAAGACAAAAATGGAAGGGACCTAACAGAAGCAGAAGACATCAAGAAGAGTTGGCAAGAATACACAGAGGAATTATACCAGAAAGATTTGGATATCCCGGACAACCCAGATAATGTGGTTGCTGACCTTGAGCCATACATCCTGGAGAGTGAAGTCAAGTGGGCCTTAGAAAGCTTGGCTAACAACAAGGCCAGTGGAGGTGATGGCATTCCAGTTGAACTATTTAAAATCTTAAAAGATAACGCTGTTAAGGTGCTACATTCAATATGTCAGCAAGTTTGGAAAACTCAACAGTGGCCAGAGGACTGGAAAAAATCAGTCTACATCCCAATCCCAAAGTAGGGCAGTGGCAAAGAATGCTCCAACTACCGTACAATTGCACTCATTTCACACGCTAGCAAGGTTATGCTCAAAATCCT